TTGCGTACTTACTAGGCTAAGTTCAAACAAAATAAAATCAAATTTCCATTTAATGAAGAGCCTCACATTCAGCATAGTATTCAGTCAAAAAAAATTACTAAAAATTAGAGCATGTTTCTAGTACAATTAACATCATTTGCACTCACAATAAAATATTCAATAACTGGCCATTTTTCCTGTTGAGGTGGTGAATAAAAGCATGCTATTAATCATTTAGCCTTCATTTGTTTGCCATTTTATTTTAAGTAGACAATTAAATTGAAACTGCACATTATTATTACTTCAGGTTCAATTTAATCCCTTTAAACTTGAGAATTATTCCCAATTTATACAGTGTTAAACCTTTTATGCCTATGACAGCGAATTAAATTTTATTTTATGTACCAAGTTAATGCTTTCTAAAGAATGTTTAAAGGTGACAGTAACCCTGGAAATTTTAATTTTAGACTTATACAGCTGTTAGGACTAAACTGCATTTATTCAACCCACCATTTTTTCCCTGTAAGCTTTCTTACAGTGAAGTGGCCTGGTTTGCTCAGCCCAGGTCTTTCTGTAAGGAACGAAAGGAGGATGTGCTTGTACTGGTCCTTGTTTTCTCTCTGGTCCTTTTTCACAGCCCAGCTCCTGAAACCCTCTAGCCCAACATCTCATAGCTGCTGCACCACCTGAAGGTCTGACAGATACATGGCAATGGTTGCCTATTTGAGATGGTAGCCAGCAAGTACTGCTAAATATTGCATAGCCCATTACAGTCGTGGGACTCCTTCCGCTGACTGCGGATCTGGATCCAGAAGGTCCCCCATTAGCTCACCCAGTAACATTTAAGAGTAGGTGTTAGCATGTATCTGTTCATCACATTCTACCCGCTTGCTTGCCTGCCCGTTTTAGCAGCACCTAAATAGGCAGGTAGCATTTGCCTCTGTATGTGGTGCCCAGAGCCAGCACGTGGGGAGCCTATACTCATCTGTGACAGATGTTTTCTTTTCTGTTTTACCCTCCTACACTGGTGTTTTAGCTAATAAACAGTTGAGGCCATGCTGGAGAAATGGGCTTAATAATTATGAATGTGGGGAAGATGAAACAGTATATCTTTGAGTGCAATTAAAAGTCCTTAGGTGCTCTTAATATCACTTAGGCAATATAATATGGTCTTGAATACATAATCTATATTCTGAGGAGCATAACGTTTTAAAGTGTCAGAACTATTTTACTCATCTTCTAAAATCCTATGCCTTACCTTCCATTACCATCATTCTTTTGCATTCCATTTGTACATCCATTTGTGTCATACTCAGCTCCTTCTTGTTCTTCTAAACTCATCTCCTCCAAGCTATCTTCTTCTAAGCTGTCATTCTCCAGCTCATCAAAACACAGTCCTACCAGCTCTTCATTTTCATGAATCCGCTGCTGGAGTTCTAACTGATACCGTCTCTCCCAAACAAGGCTTTCGGAATCAGACTCTTGGGAGTCATGCAGACTTGAGGAAAAGCCCCCTTCATTTACAGATGGCCTTTTCCAGTTTGTGGGATGAAAATCTTGTTGCATGAGTACACTTTGGGGGAAATGTTTTTTACTCATGTTGCAAGTGTGTGGAGAAGAAACAGAAATATACTTCATACGTGAGGAATTCATTCCGCGTTTTGTACTCACGGTATACACCAGTCCTGTATTTGGAAAACATGAGAGTAAACATAAAAAGGTTGTTTGCTCTATGATAATGATTGTATTTGTTAAAAGCTGGAATTGTGAGTAATATCATTGGCTTGGGCTCTGAATTTTGTCTTCTATAGTTAAAATAACTCTTTACTTGCATCCGTTACACTGATTTTCCTTTAGGCAGTTAATACCAGGGTCCCTATACAGCAAATGCATGACTTATTACTATGAAATCTACCTTAAACTATTAGCGGTAACAAAGCTAATCATGTATCAACAGCTTCTGAAAAAGAAAATTAAGCTAAGACAAAGCAACAAAATTTTATCTGTTAACTTCTGAGAGGTAAAAGTAAGTTTATATGTGCTCTTTATTCAACTTTATACCATCTTGACAAGTTATCAGCAAGAACGTGAGTGCGACAGAGATAACAGTGAAAAGAACCGGAACACTTCTTAAATTAGAAAGATGGTTTCTTTCCCTTTGATTGCATTTAAATGTTCCTAAGTCATTTGCACCACCGGGTACACAGGAGATGAAGAGTCTGGAGGAAGGAAATGGGCAGTGTGCAGTACAGCGCACACGGCAGGAACACTCCGTTTAAAGGTGTGCAGTCAGCTCCACTCCAGTGCGTGGGCCACTGTTAAGCTGTGGGGAAGAAAGGATCGAGAGCAGCCCTGCCGAGAGGGACCTGGGGGTGCTGGTGGATGAAAAGCTGGACATGAGCCGGTAATGTGCGCTGGCAGCCCAGAAGGCCAACCGTACTCTGGGCTGCATCAAAAGAAGCGTGGCCAGCAGGTCGAGGGAGGTAATTCTGCCCCTCTACTCTGCTCTGGGGAGACCTCGCCTAGAGTACTGCGCCCAGCTCTGGAGCCCTCGGCACAAGAAGGACATGGAAGTGTTGGAGCGGGTCCAGAGGAGGGCCACAAAAATGATCCGAGGGCTGGAACACCTCTCCTAGGAGGACAGGCTGAGGGAGTTGGGCTTGTTCAGCCTGGAGAAGAGAAGGCTGCGGGGAGACCTGATTGCGGCCTTTCAGTACCTAAAGGGGGCCTATAGGAAAGATGGGGAAAATCTTTTTAGTAGGGCCAGCTGTGACAGGACAAGGGGGAATAGTTTTAAACTAAACCAGGGTAGGTTTAGACTGGATCTAGGGAAGAAATTCTTTCCAGTGAGGGTGGTGAAACCCTGGCAGGGGTTGCCCAGAGCGGGGGTGGAGGCCCCATCCCTGGGAACATTCCAGGCCAGGTTGGCCGGGGCTGTGAGCAACCTGATGTGGTTCAAGGTGTCCCTGCTCCTGCAGGGGGGTTGGGCTGGGTGACCTCTAGGGGTCCCTTCCCACCCAAAACATTTGATGATTCTATGATAAATGCCAGATGTAATTTCTAATGCTTGAGGGGTAGCACCGCTTGTCACAGCCCAGTTCGCCCTCCGGCAGGCCTCCTCCACCTG